CTCTCGGGATCTTCGGCATGCAAGCACAAGCGCCCAGGGTGAGTTTAAGCCATTGGGTCTGGGACTCAAACTGTGGTCGACTATGTGGGAGTCCAGCAACATAGCCATTATGCCAACCACTGGTCCCAAATAAAAATAATTCTTTTTAGAAAAGATTTGAAGGCTGGCAGGTGGTATGGTGGTTGAGGCTCTGGACTCCCACATAGCCAAACAAAGTTTGAGTCCTGGACCTGGTGGCTTGCTTTCTCATTCTACCTATCTCTCACTCTCTCTGTTTCTCCCTAGTCAAATAGAATAATAACAATAATAATAATAATAAATAAAATTAAACAAATAGTTCTTAAAAAAGAAAAGGGCTTTGGCCTTGTCTGGAGCATCTTGGTATGAAGCCCATGTGGACTGAAAGATGATCCATAGACAGAACTAATTCACTCCAAGCAAATGCAGAGATGGCCATGAAGATAGCCACCTGGGAATTTTCAATAATCTTGGAGAAGACCTTAAATTGGGGGTGCATTCAACCATTAATTTATTAAGGGGTTGGACTATCCAAGTTGCTATATAGGTCACAAAGGTAGGGAGAATTTCCCTCAATGAATTTTTATTAATGTAAGTAGTCATTTCAGTAACAGTAACAAAAATGATGAGCAACACAAAAATCTGAATTACAATATACAGTCTTTCTCTACAAGACATTTAATTGTCTGGATTAACACTGTCGACAAAACTTTCTATGATAATAGATATGTTTTGTAGGGCCAATATGGTGGCATAGCAGTAAAGCAACTGGATTCACGGGGGCAGTTCCCCCACTCATGTTCCAGGGTCTTCCTTTACATACGGGACCCATGAGCACTAAAGCAACTGGATTCACGGGGGCAGTTCCCCAACTCATGTTCCAGGGCCTTCCTTTATACACGGGACCCATGAGCATGCCTCTGATCTAGGCTGGCTGAGGCTAGGGTGGATCATGGCCTGATAGGGGTTGCTGGTCTCTCATAGAATAACTTTAAAGAAATGTTTAAAAAATAAGTAGTCTAGACAGATAAGGTTCTTGCCCACTATCACACAGCTATTAACTGGTAATGCTGAGATTCAAACTCAGGTCAGTGTGTCTCTAAAGCCCATCCTCTTAAGCCCCATCTGATAGCAACAGAGAGTACTTAGATGATATTGATGCTGCTGGCCTTGGGACCACACTTTGAGAACCCTGTTCATATAACAACAGCTGACCATGAAAAGCCCTGATAACAGAAACAGATGCAGGGATTTGCACAGCAGTTTCACAGGTAAGTTATGCACAGTATTACCAGGATTTCCAAAACAAAAGTAATGTTGCTTCTGTTTGTTGCTGTCAAATACAGCGCATCAATGGGGCAGAAGGTAAAGATGGTGTTTCCCATAAGACTCTGCCATAATATTTATCTAGAAATCCGTCACTGGTGGGCCAGCAGATGGCGTAATGGTTACATCGCTGGACTCCCATGTAATTCACTGTGGTTCGAGCTCCAGACCCAGTGGCTTAAAACTCATGCCAGGCTCGTGTGCCTGCTTGCCCAAAGTCCTGAGAGCAGACTGGAAGAGAAGGGATTGTGGCGTGCCATACCCCCGGGGCTGATTTCTTACTTTCTGTCTCTCTGGCAAGTGCACATGTCCTACAGAAAAATTCTCTCTCTTAAAAAACAAACAAACAAACAAACAAAACAAAAAAAAAGAAATCCATAACTGACAACAAGTTACTAGACTAAAAAGACATGTCTGCTGGGGAACCAGCAATTAGCGTAATGGCTATGTCTCTGGGCTCCCACGTAGTCGACTGCGGTTTGCGTCCCGGACCTGGTGGCTTAAAACTCACGCTGGGCGCGTGTACGTGCGTGCCCAAGATCCTGAGAGAAGAATGGTGGAGAAGGGATTGTGGCGTGGCCAATCCCCCTGGGGGGTGATTTCTCACTTTCTGTCTCTATGTCTCTCTCTGTCTGTCTGGCGAGCGCACACCCCCTATAGCGAAAATGTCTCCAAAAAAAAAAAAAAAACAAGACATGTCTGCTGTATGAGGAAAACAAAGTCCGTTAGGGTATAGAACTTAGATGCTTCTGAAGAGGGATCTGGGAGTTTATTCTTGGTTTTGGCTTTATGTCATATCTGCCTTTGTTCTTATGTTTAAGAATAATTGGTGGGGGGACCAGCAGTTAGCATAATGGCTATGTCGCTTAACTCCCATGTAGCCAACTGTGGTTCGAGTCCCAGATTAAGAGGCTTAAATTCAGGCCGGGTGCGTGTGCGTGCGTGCCCAAGATCCCTAGAGGAGAATGGAGAAGAAGGGATTGCGGTGTGGCCATTCTTCCTGGGTGGGTGATTTCTTGCTTTATATCTCTCTGTCTCTTTCTCTCTTTCTGGTGAGCACACGCTCCCTATAGCAAAAAACTCACACACAAAAATAATAATAATAGTAATTGGTGGGACCAGCGGTTGGTGTGATGGGTATGTTGCTGGCTCAAGTAGTCAACCATGGTTTGAATCCTGGACCCGGGGCTTGAACTCACCCAGGCACATGTGCGTGCGTGCCCAAGATCCCGAGAGGAGGATGGAGGAGAAGGGATTATGGCGTGGCCATCCACCCTGGGGGGTAATTTCTTGTTTTCTGTCTCTTTGTCTTTCTGGTGAGTGCACAGTACACATGCCCTATAGCAAAGACCTCACCAAAAAAAAAAAAAAAAAGTCTCACACACACACAAAATAATAATTGGTTACCATGGGGGCGGTGTGGGGTAGGAGCAAGCATGCTGGCCCTGGACTCAGACTGTAGGGGTTTAAAGCCTGACTTTCCATTTACTAAGGAGGGTGAGAGATGACTCTTGATAAGTGAATGCTCCAGGTCTCAGTTTCGCATCTATAAAATGAAGACGTTAGTGGCTCTACTTCATATAGTTGTTACAAAGATCAACGAGGGGAGGCATTAAAAACTCTGAGCGGTGTTTCCTGTCCACTAAGCCTGTGGCTAACTTGAGCATCTTAACATCTGAACATCAAAAACCCAAAAGGTTTTGAGAGCCGATATGATGCCACAAGTGGAAAATTCCACATATGATCTCATGAGACAGGTACAATTGAAACACAGCAATACAAGAGTATTGTTCAAAATTACTTTCAGTTTATGTATAAGGTGCATATAAAATGAATTTATACATTTCATTAATACCTTCATAAATGTATTTTATATTTAGTATTGGGCCCCACCTCTAAGATATTTAATTATATATATATATATATGTGCAAATTTTTCAAAATCTGAAAATATCAGAAATCTGAAATACCTGTGGTCCCAAACACTTGGGATAAGAAAGATCTAATCTGTATTATAGTTTGTCCCACTGCTGGGTCAGTCCCAGGCCAGACTTTCTATTTGTTTGATAATGTGGTAACGGGCTGTACCCTAAACTTATCTTACTGTCAGCAAATAAACGTGCTCTTGAGTGTTTCTGGCCAGCCTGGAGTGTGCTGTGCAACACTGCACATGCCTCTATTAGATGCTAATGTTCCTACACATTGGGAAGGAAATTTTATTTTAAAAAAACTTCATATTTTCCTTTTGCCACCCAAGTGATCCTGTACATTCCAAAGGGTGCTAGGACCCAGATTTGCACATGTTCTCATTTAATTCTCTGGGATGTAGTTATTGTTTCTATTTTAAACACTGGAAATCTTGAGTTTAGGAAGTAACGTGACAATAAATCGATAAGTCAGAATTTGAACTCAGATATGTTTGAGATCAAAGCCTATACGGCCTTGGGACCAGCAGTTAGCATAATGGCTATGTCGCTGGACTTCCACGTAGTCGACCGCGGTTCGAGTTCTGGAACCGGTGGCTTAAACTCATGCCAGGCGCATGTGTGTGCATGCCCAAGATCCCGAGAGGAGAATGGAAGAGAAGGGATTGTGGCATGGCCATCCCCTCTGGAGGGTGATTTCTTGCTTTCTATCTCTCTGTCTCTCTCTGTCTGGTGAGCGCACGTGCCCTATAGCAAAAACCTCTCCATAAAAAGACAAAAAAAAGCCTATACTGCCTTGAGATTTACAGATTAAAACTGGAGTGATGGGACCAGCAGTTAGTGGAATGGCTATGTCACTGGACTCGTATGTAGTCGACTGCGGTTCGAGTCCCGGATCCAGTGGCTTAAACTCACGCCAGGTGCGTGTGCGTGCATACCCAAGATCCCGAGAGGAGAATGGAGAAGGAATTGTGGCTTGGTCATCCCCCCTGGGGGGTGATTTCTCGCTTTCTGTCTCTCTGTCTCTCTCTGTCTTTCTGGCGAGTGCACACGCCCTATAGCAAAAATCTCTCTTAAAAAAAAAAACTTGAGTGATTATGAAGAATTTTTTTTTTTTTTGGAGGAAAAGGAGGTTTGATGCTCAAATGCTCATTTACAGATCTAGTATTTCATTTTGAAGTTGTTTGTAGCTTAGAAGAACTTATAGCAGAAATATCAAATTTCCACAGAAAAATATGTAATAGCTAAACCTTGTAGAGTTTAGACAACTCAAAGTATTATTGCATAGATACTTAGTAATTACATCCATTTCCTAGTCAGCAGAATAGAAAGCCTAGGATAGAATAGAATAGAATAGAAAAGAATACTGGAAAATGTGAGGGGGAACCACTTTAAACTTAGAAGAAAATTACCGAAGAGTTCAGATGAACTTGTAACAGAATCCAAGCTAGGAGCGTCTACTCTGGGAATTTCAGTGTAGTACTTTGTCACTCAGTAGCTTCCGAACCATAAACGATCTCCTCATTGCTCTGGACTGAATCTAAGAACTCTGTCCTCTCTTTTGGGAAGCACCAGGGATTTCCACAAGCAGTCGGCTGCCACCTTGTTTGGTCTCTACTTGCACAGATACGCGACCCTCTGCTTGCAGTCTGAGGCTATAAGGCACATGGGAGTGAGTTGTTTTGCCCCAAGGCATTGCCCATCACACCAGGCCCTTCCCACGAGGCATACCTTACTGTTCAGGATCTGGAAAACCCTCTGCTGGAGTGTCTGGCCAGCCTTAGGTCTCACAAGGATGTAAATGACTTTCAGGTCGGGGCTGGTGCGTAACAGCTTCTCCATCAACACTTTGCCCATGAAGCCGGTGGCCCCTGTGATGAGGATAGACTTGCCGCCATAGAAAGCCGCAATCATAGACATGGTTCTTCCCTTCCTTTCTTTCTTTTTCTTCTTTCTTTTAGCTTCGGAAAGAGGTTCCTGAAAAGGAAGAGAAACAACAATGGATTATGTTCTCAGAAGTTCTCGAAAGCAGGGGATGGATGGTGGCTCAGGGATGAAACGTGACATTCTGTGAGGCTGACCCACAGCAGAAGCATCTGGGGCCCAAGGCCTCCCTGAGCACTCTGGGCACACATGCCCTTGGGCTCGAGCTGGCAGGAGCTGGGGCTGGATTATGGCATCAAGACCCTGCTGGGGGTTCTGTCCCTCTCTTCTGTCTCTCTCACTCATGGAAATAATAAATAAACTTAATAAAAAAGAAGTTCTAAAAAAGAAAGAAGTTCTAAAATGCAAAGTCACTTAAAATAGTACAGGACCAACAGGTGGCGTGGTGATGAAGGCACTGGACTTCCACATGGCTGAGCACGGTTTGAGCTCCAGACCCTGTGGCTTGAAAATCATACCAGGCACATGTGCATGCATGCCCAGAATCCAGAGAGGAGAATGGCAGAGGGATTGTAGCATGGCCATCCCCCCGAGGGGGATTTCTCACTTTCTCTCTCACTGTCTGTCTCTCTCCAATGAGCACATGTGCCCCTATGGCAAAAACCTAAAATCAAACAAACAAACAAACAAAAACAAAACAAAACAAACACTAAAACTAAAAACTAAATACATCTGGTGCTTCCAAAAGCTTAAATGGAAGGGAAAAGGAAAAAAAAAAAAAGTCAGACAGAGCCTAGTAGCTTGTGGGCAGCACGATTTATTTTAATCAATGTTTATTGAGCTCACTCAACATGCTAGACTTTCTGCCAGAAATTGTGGGCAAGAAATAAATGAGACATGGTTCCTGCTCCGGAGAATTGCTTGCAGCCTAATGGAGCAGACACATAAAGAGACTGTTACACAGAATAAGGGAAGAGATAAGAGGGAACACAGGCAAGGGTGCACAGCAAGATCTGTGAATTTCAGGAAGGCGTCTGCAGGTGGTGACAGCTGAGCTGAAATGTGAAGGCAGAGAAGGGCTGGGGTGAGAGTCTTCAGGCAAAGGAGAAAGTAAGAGCAAAGATGCAGGTTGGCACGGCACACCGGAGGGGAAAATAAAAATTCAGTGTTACAGAAGGTGAGTGACAGCGCTGGAGTGGCCCCGCAGCCTGAGAACCAGGGCTCGGAACAACTGTCGGATTTCCCAAAAAATAGGATGCAATTCATATTTCAGTTGCAGGCTTATTTAGAGACAATACTGGAGCAAATGGCTTAGTTTCTCTTGAACAAAGTGTCCCTGGCCTGCCCAACCACTTCTGAATAAATAAGTTATTCTCTTCCTTGAGCTAAAAACAGGTTGAGAGCCATCCTTTCCTGCATATGCTGCCCCAGGGCCCAGATGTTGGAACAGGCAAAGGCAGAGGAGGCTGAGCAAGGGGGGCCACAGACCCCACAGACCGCGGGCTTCGGTGTTGCCTGAGAGAGCGCCAAGTGCAAACTATTGCTCTTAGTCCTTTTAAAACCCATTTCCAGGCGCACAGGGAAGGAGGACGCAAATCTGGTGGTGGGAAGTCAGATGGAGCACTTTGATTCTGCACTCTCCACAAAAAGCACCTCGTGCTGTAGAAACGCAAGAAGTGTTTCTCTTTACGCTCAGGTTGAAGGTGTTGATTGGAAGCAGCAGCAGAGTGTTCTGAGCTGAATGGCATTAGCGCTGTGGGGCAGACTTTCATTTCTGTCCACTAAGCTTGTCAGCTATACAAAGTCTTCCCTGGCCGGCTGGACAGGGCTGGGTAGGTCCTGCAGAACACACCTCTAGGGACTGGTGGTGACATCAGAGATTATAAAAAAAAAAAAAAAAAAAAGAAAAATTAAGTGAAAGAGTTTATACCCTGCCTCTTTTTTTTTTTTTTGGAGGGGATTTTTATATAGGGCGGGT